CCCCCCCCCCCCCCCCGACAAAGGGAAGGTTCGAGCTTGGCACCTGCAGAGTCCCTGCTGTGCGTGCACGCTGCGTCGTTAACACGCTGGGACCCATGTGTGGTACCTGACGGCGCTGTGCGGCCTGTGAGGGCTGCGCCTGGAACACGAGGTCGGGCGTGCACGACTTCTACTTTGAGAACGTTTTCCTCGAGAAAGTACGGAGTTGTGAGAGGTTCTGGTGGTGCTGATCTCGTGGAGGCAACTCGCGTTGGTTGTCTGTACACATGTAGCCCTGTTGAAACGGTAGAATTTGTGGTGCTCGGATTTGTTTCCTCCTGAAGTGTTGTGTTGAATAGAATTATTTTTAAGATTGATGAGTAACGTTTCACTTAATTCTGAACTTGTGACACTTCTTCAGATAGAAAAATGCTGGGCTCGGTGTCCCGGAACCACAGCCGGCAGTCCCTGCTTTCTGTCGCCCCAGCTTCTTTGAACCGACAGACTTTAAGAAGACAAAACAACAACCTTATTTGAAATTGGTAGCTAGAGTGAAGGTGGCTGACAGCGTGAACTTGTTTTACTTTGGGGAGAGTGCAGGTGGTGTTTCCCAAAAGTGTGTTTCATGCCAAGTGAGCTCTGTAGAGCGCTGGAGGGGCCAAGGGACAAGGCTCTGGGTGCAGCGTGTCTGTGAGCTGTTCCAGAAAGCACACTGGCCCGTGGCCGGTGTGCAGCGCTCTGTGCAGTGTGCACATTGTGACCCGAGAGGGGGCGGGGCGTTTCTAAAGTACACATGTGCCCCAGGCATGTCTGTGTGCACTCGGGTCCAAGGGACACAGGAGGCTGGACTCCAGGTGGGTCCTGGGCGAGTGCTCCTTTGCCAGCGTTCTGCGTGCTGGCTGGCCCTGCCTTACCCCCTTACTAAGCACCTGACCTGAGGGTTTCTGTCGGCAGTGCCTTGAGTTGACTGATCTTTAACTGGTTCCTGTGCAGAGTCCTGATCACTGCCAGTTAATGGATGCATCGTTCCCTCTTTTCTTCTGAGGTTTTTTTTTTTTTTTTTTTTAATTTTTTTTTAACGTTTTTTTTTTTTTTTGGGACAGAGAGAGAGAGACCAACGGGAGAGTGGAGAGAGAGGGAGACACAGAATCGGAAACAGGCCCTCCAGGCTCCAGCCACAGCCCAGAGGCCCGAGGTCGGGGTCTGAACTCCACCGGACCAGAGATCGCGGACCTGGCTGAAGTCGGCCGCTTAACCGACTGCGCCACCCAGGCGCCCCACTTCTGAGGTTTTTAACAAAGAAGCCTAACAACATTGCTCTTGAAACCCTTTGTTGTGTGGGTTTCTGTTGGCAGTACTTTATTTTGTGGACTGTTGTGTTCTTTGTCATAGAGAGCACTTTCCACATGTGGATGCTTTACCAGGGAACTTCTGTGCCATTCTTGTTTTTTTCCTTTCTTTTTTTAAGAGGGAGAACAAGCTGGGGAGGGACAGATTGAGAGAGAGAGAGGGGGAGACAGAGAATGCCAGGCAGGCTCCACACTGTCAGTGCAGAGCCTGATGCAGGGCTTGATCTCAGAAATGTGGGATCGTGACCGGGGCCAAAACCAAGAGTCTGACACTTCACCAGCTGAGCCACCCGGGGTGGGGGTGGGGGGGTGTCCCTGTGCCATTCTTCTGAGTGTTCCTTTTACTTCTGAAATTTCTGTCAGCTTTCCTTAATCCTGTTTCTTGTACTTTATCACTAGACCGTGATCACGTTAATCTGGAAGTATATTAACATGTGCTGAGGCATTGCTGTGTCTCTACACGTATACACTAGGTATATCACATTCTAAAAACTTTGCTAGTGTTTGGCAGTAATTTTTTCCAGCATTCCGATAACTTAGCTGGACTTCCTGAAGGTAGCAGGAATTGACTTGAAAGATCGTTTATTTTATCCTTGTCTTATTTGATACGAAATGTATTTTTCTGGCCACTTTATTACCTGAGCCAACTATTTGTTAAAATGGTCTTTGAGGTCTTTGAATGGATTTCATTTATTTTATTCCCAAATATTATCTAGCTCATTAAAAATCTTCAGATTGATCATATATTCTTTTTCCCTGACTATAATCTTACTCATTTTATTAAAGAATCACAAAATGCTTTTGGTCACGTGTGCTGACGCCCCTCGCCCCACCTCGGCCTCTCCGCAGCACGTGGCCGAAAGCTTGTTGCCACGTGCATGGTTTGTGGCTCGTGTTGACTAATGCCGCCTGTTAATGTTTTTTTCTTTCGACTCCGTCGCCTTGATTCGTGTAGTTGTAAATCTGGCTGAGGTTTTATCGCGCTTCTGCCTTGGGAAGGATATACTAATTCTGGTTTGTGTGATAATAGGGCCACAGAAGAATGGTGTGCTGCTCGGCGTGGAGCGAGGACCACCCCATGTGCAATCTGTTCACCTGCGGGTTTGACAGGCAAGCCATTGGCTGGAACATCAACATCCCTGCGTTGTTACAAGAGAAATGAGGTTGCCGGCGTTCCTTAGTCGCGTGGTTCGCCGTGGACCTGTGGACCGGTGCCGCTTTTCTCCTGTTGGTCAAGCCCTTTTTCTGAGAGTCGGGCCCTGACGAGGGTGATTTGTATGTTCTTTTCTCATTGTACCCAGCTTGCATGAAATGTACAGCAAAACGTATGGTCCTAAGTTTTATTTTCGTCTTGTGTGTGTGCTGGCGCCCTCCGTGCAGTGGAGACGAAGCCCCTTCCCCGTAGCACGTCGTGTGTTGTGAGTTGCTGGCGTCTGACAGCTGACAGGAGGGCGTTACGTTTGCGTGAGTTAAATGTGAACCCGCGTACTTACTGTGAGGCGCAAGTAGAGTGTAGCGTTTCTGGAATAATTATACACGTCTGCCTTGTGCCGGGAAGGTCGCGGAGCTGCACCCGCGTTGGCTGACGCACGGCAGGTGCGCTGGAAGACTTGAGGGTTGCTTCCGCGTGAGGTTTTAGCGTGTGCCGTGCTGTCACGGAGCTTCAACTCCGTCCCGCCGTAGTTACGTAAAACAACCTGGATGTTAGACGCTAACAGAAGTAGGCTGCAGACTTTACATTTGGAGAGGCGTTTGAAAAGAAAAAGTTTCTGCTCTTTTTGTGGAAAATCATTTCAATCTCCTGAGGTCTCATATTAGCAAATTCAAAAATGTGATTCTAATCACTGATTTCAGATACTAAGCAAAATTTAAAGCACTTTAGTTTATAGCCATGGTTATAAACAGTTTTGAGAAGTTACAGATGACTTATCCATTGAATGTGACTTGACCTTTTGAAGAAGGCCCTGCCTGCTACCTGAAAACAAAACCTTATTTATTTTCTATTCTACACTTTGGTTTGCGTATTTCTAAGGGGGTTCACTTCCTTGGTGGTGTTTGAGAGCCAACAATGCAAATAAATGAGTACTACCTCAGAACAGCATGTTTGGAGACCGGGGGCGTCTCGCCACTGCGTGTGGCTGGGATGCCCAGTTCAGTTCCGAAGGCAGGACAGACAATCATAGCGGCCGGCAGGGGCGGCTGCAGTGATGCGTCGCAGGCCGGCAGCTTGTTCCCGTTTCGGCAGCCGGGACGCCCCTGCGTGCCAGCCCTGTCACTGCCCGGGCGAGCCCGTCGCTCTTGCCTTCGTAGGACTCACTGTTGTCCGCTGTTTGTGAGTTCGTGTTTCTTGCTCAGTCACAGTTTTGATAAAGAGCCGTCTCTGCATATCGCCCTCCTATTTTTAATTCTTTGAGTGTGTGCACTTGGAGAGGCACAAGAGGGTGACCGTGAAGACGATCGTGGGTGCCCCACTTCTGGTGGTGACGGCTGGCGGAGGAGCGCGTGGGCCGCCCTGGGTCCTGAGTGAACGCGCCTCACTTGAGGCTCCCGTGGCTCAGGTCCTATGTGTGGTACCTCGCGAGGAATTCCAGCCCCAAATTCTCTGGAACGATTTTGAGATGATTGACACGGTCTGGAAGGGAAGAAGGACCAGGAGAAACCCGTCCTGCTACGGATGGTTGAGGTCGGTGCCTGGAGGGCGCAGAAAGTCATTTCTGAAGCCTGCCTTCTGGCCCCTGCCGACCTAGGGGCACCACACCCCCAGCGCCAGAGAGCGGGCGACCTCGGGCCTCCAATCGGTGTGTCCAAGCTCTTGGGCTCCTGTTGTGTTTTAATTTGAATGTCTGGGTGTCTTAGATTCATTGTTAGGAGCACTGAAAAACGTATACAAACACAGTTGAATCAGACTTAAGAACCAGATCTCTGCCGGATTAAAAAAAGTGGAAGCTTTGAAATAAATATTTTTGATGGCCATTTAGTTCTCTGCAAACTAGTGCCCTCCGTGGCCGGCAGCTGCTCACTGTCTCGCCAACGGGAGTGGCCGACCTCCTCACTCCTCCCGCGTCTCCACGAGGGCACAAGGCCTCATGCTTTTGGGGAGAGTTCTCAGGAGCAGGACGCCCTACTATCACGACCACGTCGTCCTCTGACGTGCTTCCATTCAGCTGCTGCTGTGGCCTTAGTGGTGGTGTTTTCGGGAGTCATGGAGATTTGGGATCGTGCGTGCGCGCGTGAGCGTCCATGTGCGTGTGTGTGCTTGTGTGGCTGAGGTTAAGTCGTGATCAGCCACATGTGATCTCATCTGAAATCGTGTTTGGAAATGAGAGTGGTTTTGCTCACATGTCCAGAATTTCATTTGATAATGGAAGGAAAATGTGTGGTTACTGGAAAATGTGTATTGATAGAAAGTTTCATAAGAACTACGTTGTTGGACAAAACAGCACTGCACATCGCTTTCTGTAGAGACAAAAATTGTGTGCATATTTTGGAATTTGAAGAATCCTATGTAAATCACCTGTTGCTTAAATCTGTGAAAAACAAGTTTCTTTGGGGGGAAAGTATGCATTTATAACTGTTGTGTACAGCAAGTGTTTTTATTGTATTGGTGTGATTGTTTTTAAGTGTTGAATGTCTTCATTGCCATATGAAATTCATTAAAAATCCACATTCTGTAATCACTATTGTAAAAATTTTATGTTATTGGGAGTCTTTTTTTATTCTTTATTTAAAAATTTTTTTATTTTTATTTTTTTTATTTATTTATTTATTTAAAAAAAAATTTTTTTTTTCAACGTTTATTTATTTTTGGGACAGACAGAGACAGAGCATGAACGGGGGAGGGGCAGAGAGAGAGGGAGACACAGAATCGGAAACAGGCTCCAGGCTCTGAGCCATCAGCCCAGAGCCCGACGCGGGGCTCAAACTCCCGGACCGCAAGATCGTGACCTGGCTGAAGTCGGACGCTTAACCGACTGCGCCACCCAGGCGCCCCTAAAAATTTTTTAAAAGACGTTTTATTTATTTTTGAGAGACAGAGCATGAATGGGGGAGGGGCAGAGAGAGAGGGAGACACAGAATCCGAAGCAGGATTCAGGCTCTGAGCTGTCGGCACAGAGCCCGATGCGGGGCTCGAACCTGTGAATGGGGAGATCGTGACCTGAGATGAAGTTGATGCTTAACTGACTGAGCCACCCAGGCGCCCCATATTCTTTACTTATTTTTTAAATTTTTTGCTTTGCTGAAAATTCTAGTATTGCCCACTTGAAAACTTGTAACTTTAGACTTCAAAGGTCTGTAATCCTGCCTGTGTGCTGGGCTCCCTTTAACCCCTTGACAAGTAGGTATGCTTGTCCTCCCCGGCAGTGTCTGGAGGGAGTTAACAATCTGATACAATGCAGGTGTTGTCAGAGTCCCTGAGGGGTTTCATAAGACGTCTGCCCTGTTCTTACTGCGGTAAGCTTGTTTGAAAGTCTTTAAAAAATTGCATTTACAGAAAGCAGGCCCTGCTCGTTCTGTGGGGACAGTACGCATCTGGACTGGCTGCTCTTTCATCCGCTGTCCCCCGTGGGCGAAGCGGTGTGGTGGTTGTGGGAACCCGAGGAGACGTTTGGTCCCGGCCCAGGATCGTCCTGCTGCCTCTTCACACTGGTCGGGCTCCCTGCCTTCAGTCAGCCCCCAGAGGGCAGAAGTTGACGGACTCCTTGTCTTTCTTCCCTGAGCCTGTAGAAACATGTGATTAGCGTCCAAATTTCACAATTATGTCTTCAGTTACATTTAAAAGTTCACATGTTAGTATAAAGGATTGAGAAGGCGGGGCGCCTGGCCAGGTCAGTTGGAAGAGTGAGTGACTGTTGATCTCAGGGTTGTGAGTTTGAGCCCCACATGTAGAGATTACTTAAATAAATATTAAAAAAAAAAAAAAATCCCAAAGGCAAAACTGCTATTATTATAAGTTCGTCAAAATGCCACTCAGATGTGTCTCACTATGCCTAGATTTTCTGGTTTCCCTTAATAAATTAATAGTTAAGTTCAGACATTGGTAACACTTAAATTGTTACATGCAAAGTGTGCTATATAGTCCATATGACGGTGGGAAGAAGCTGAGAATGAAATCCTATAAAAGTATTGAGTAATTTAAAAATAATTTTATTGAAACATTTAAAAAATATTTATTTTGAGAGAGAGAGAGCATGATCAGGGGAGGGGCAGAGAAAGAGGGAGAGAGAATCCCAAGCGGGCTCTGCACTGTCAGCACGGAGCCCAGTGCTGGCTTGAACTCACGAACCGTTAGATATGACCTGAGCCGAGACCAAGAGTGGATGTTCAACCTACTGAGCCGCCCAAGCTTGAAACATTTTTAAGGAGCTTTTGGTCAAAATGAAACTGGATCAGGCAGATCTCTGGAGCCCTGAGAGCTCTCTGAGGCACAGGTGATGCCTGTGGGCTTTGTGGGCCCCGGAGCCACTTTAGACACGGGGTCCAGGAGGCGTAATCTGGCCCGAAGTTTGATGGGGGTGTCTGGAAGCGAAGAGAACACCTCTCTCACCCTCGGCACTGTGTCCCCTCACCTCTCAGCCCCTGACTGTAGTGTTTCTGTGCTCCACCTAACCCTCCTTTGGAAGGTTTGGAACTAGAACTGGAAGTCCGTGTCTCTCCAGTCACTTTGAGCTCCAGATGCTGAGAGGAAGAAGCAGCCAGAACCCTGGACTCTGCAAAGCTGTCTTTCAAGAATGAGTGGGAGATGCAGACACTTAGCGATAAACGAGGATGGTTTTCACTAGTTCTCCTCTAGTGGACCGTCTTGAAATGCTATAGGGAGAAAAAGTCCCAGAGCAGTGGTTTCAGAGTGGGCAAAATGCCAACACCCACCCCTCTAAAGTGGTGTCTGCAGTTAGTATTTAAATTTCTTAATTTCTTTTTTTTTTTAATGGCTTGGGGGATTAAAATTTTAACTTTTGTCTTTATAAGATACATAGTAAAATTTCAAGGGTAACCACAAAGGAAAACTTTGAAAAGATAAGGAAATGATGAAATGTGGTTACCTTATGTAAGGGGGTTAGGAAGTGTGGTAACTTAGAACTAGAGTAGAAGTAATTTTTTTTTTTAGTGGGTTTTCTTTCTTTTAATGGGCTTGCAATTTTAGAACCATCATAGTAAATCACC